GGATGAGGCTTGCCTCTGCCCCAGGAAAATTCTTCCTGGCACTGCAATAGCTAGAATCACTCTTTGTGTGTGTAAGGGAGTGGGGACCCAAGCCAGAAGAGATGACCACTTCTTGAGACCAAGTGTGAGCAGTGAGCTACCCCCCCCCAACCCAGCATGGCTGAGGGCTGTGCTGGGCACATAAAAGGGAAAATCATTTAGTATGGCTGCAGTACTGAGAGAATAGGCAGAGGTTTTGGTTTCTCTGGTGACTTAGTAGAGACAAAATGTTTAATTCAGGCCACCAGAAATAATCACTGGATACACAGTGTAGAGGGTTTTATGAATGAAAACCAAGCTGAGACTTTGAGATGAGTGGCTCAAACCAGATGCCATTCTAAAACTCCTCATAGGGACTGAGCCAACTCCCACCTTGCTGGCAACTGGGAAGTCATTTAGGTCAACTCCCCACCTAGTTAGGAGCCAAGGAGGAGGTGACCTTAGAAGAGTTATCAGGGCAAAGGGCAGCTTCTGTTTTCACTTTTAGACTCATTCCACCTGAGCACTCACCTACACCATGTGTCTCTCTGACAAGATGTGGGACAAGGAGGTGAGCCTAACCCACCCAAGCCCTGGAAGCAGAGAGGTAGAGACCTGAGCAACCTTTACCATGCAAACAGCACATATGATGTTAAGGGAACAATAAGGCTGGCAACATACAAAAACATACCCATACCCATTTTTAAAAAGCATCAGAGCCAGGTGGTGTTGGCACATGCTTTTAATCCCAACACTCAGGAGGCAAAGTGTGGGTAGCTGTCTTTGTGGGGTTACAGCAGGTATCCAGCCAACTTGCCTACTGTTCCTGAGAAGGCAAGTGTGAATTAAGGGCTAGCTAAAAAGGTTAAAGGAAAAGACAGACACAGAATAAAATCAGGAAGGCAGATTCAGTCAATAATAAATGCTCTGAGTTTATTTTTCACTGTTCTTAAATACCTTAACAAAAAAGGGGAACATGACATCATGTGTATGGAAAAAACCGACTTTTCTTCTTCAAGTCTCCTACAATTCAGTAACCATACCTTAGATACAATTTCCCCTTACACGGCCTTGAGGGTCAGGAGTAATCACACTTCAGACCAGGTCTGTTGGTATTTATATAAGACACACAAGGCCAATATCAAACATCCTACTGGAGCCAACCTTTTCACATTTGGGTCTTATGACTTACTGGGGATAGTTTTGAAACCTATGACGTTTAATCTAGTTGGAGTGGAGTCATCCATATGGGCCATGACACCAAAGACAAGCAGATCTCCGAGAATTCCTGCTCTACAGAGAGAATTCCAGTTCTAGGACAACCTGGGCCACATAGAAACCCTGTCTTGAAAACATAAATAAATAAATAAATAAATAAATAAATAGGAAATAGAATTCACTAAGTTCAGAAGAAACCGAAAGAACTATTTAACCTCACTAGAAGTAAAAAGAAATGTCACTTGAATAATCACTTCAATTTTAACTTGTCACTAAAAGTGGAATTGAAGTTTGTTTGATTTTATTTCATTTTGCTATACTGGAGATGGACTCCCAAGGTGTCAACAGGCTAGAAAAGAGCTCTAATGTTGAGCTACACTTCCATCCAACCAAAGCTTCGTTTGATGACAAAGCGATGTGGTGTTAAGCTCTGGATGAGGAACAGTCTCCCACATACTTGTAGGAGAGTATAAGTATAGTGGTTTGAATGAGAATGGCCCCCATATTCTCATGCATTCGAATGTTTGGTTCCCAGATGGTGGAACTGTTTGGGAAGGATCAGGAGGTGTGGTCTTGTTGTAGGAGGTTTTGTCACTGGGGGTGGGCTTTGAAGTTTCAAAAGGGCATGGCTAGCCAAGTTAGTTCTCTTTCTCTGCCTCCTGCTTGTGATTCTGACTTAAGCTCTCAGCTGCTCCTCAACTGCCATGCCTTCCTGCATATCTGACTGCTTGCCTGTCTGCATGTTTGCCTGCATACCTGTCTGCCTACTTGCTTGTTGTTATGCTCCCAGCCATGATAGTCATGGACTCACCTCTGAAACTATAATCCTGATAAACTCTATCTTCTATAAATTGCTTTGGTAATGGTGTTTCTTCACAGCAATATCAAAGTAAGTTTATAGAAGTTGGTTCAGAAAGTGAGCTATTGCTATATCAGGCTCAACCATGCTATCTTGGGAGGATTGTGGAAAACATTGGGATTTTGGACTAGAAAATTACTTGACTGATTTAAGTGGGTCTGGTGGGCCATTCCAAGAGGAGCCTGCAGACAGTAGTGCTGAGAGCAATGTGGATTATGGAGAAGAGAACAAGAGGCTTTATAAGAGAAAAATATGAAGAACTGGGCTAGAGACCATTCTTGTGATATTTTGGCAAAGAAAGTAACTGCTTCCCCCACCCTTGTTCTAAGGGTATTCCTGAGGCTAAAATCAAAGAGTTTTGAACTAATTTCACTGGCAGAGGAGATTTCAAGACAGCCTAATATTGATTCTGTTTCCTGGTTATTAGTGACCATTCTACTGCAGGTCTACATGGAAAAAGACCAAGCCAATAAGTAGCACCCCTTCAGGGTCTCTGCATCAGCTCCTGCCTTGAGGCTCCTACCCGGTGTGAGTTCCTCTCCTGATTTTCTTTGATGATGAAGAGTGATGTGGAAATCTAAGCCAAATAAACCCTTTCCTCTCCAAGTTGCTTTTGGTCATGGCATTTCATTATGGCAATAGGAACTCTGTCTAAGCCAGAAATCTACCCTGTTTCAGGAGAACAAGAGCACTGGGCTGCAGATTCATCTGTAGGAACATACAACCAGGAAATACTGGTCCACACCAAAGTCAGGATTTCAGGTTATGTAACTTACAGAAGCCAGTATTAGAATTCACACCCTTAGAGGAGAGGCTGGGACAGTGGGCTAGCACATGTCTACAGGGCAGAATTTCAGGTGGCAAACACAGGCATTCTGGAAGGGCAAGTGTGTGGAGACTGAATGGGAGTCTCTGGTAGGGCTGGGAGCAAATGACTAAAGGAAAAATGAGACAATGTAGGGGAGAAGAGAAGTGAGGAGGGTTTCTAGATCTGAGACAGTATTTGCATAAGTAACTGAATCTGAAGTTACAGAAGCTTGAACTGAAAGTGGGATATCTTGCCTAAATTATGCCTCAGTAAACTGGATGCCAAGGAAACAGCCATAGAGATCTTACCAGTGAGTTTAATAGAGGAGCCATTTGCAAAGCAGCATGCCCAGTGGAGTCAGAATGGTTGGCGGTGGCATAGGTTACACTGGGACAGAGGAGGAAGGAAATGCTCCTAGATGTTAGGACAGTTTCCTCTGCGGACACCGCTGAAATCAGATACATTTGTGTGGATCAAAGTTGCAGGAGAGAAACTGTACCTTTGCCTTTCCCCTTGCTGAACATGATTAACTCTTTTTTTTTTTACAATGATTTGTTTATTTTTGTTTTATGTGCATTGGTATTTAGCCTGCATGCATGTCTGTGTGAGGGTGTCAGATCCCCTGGAAACTGAACCCAGGTCCTCTGTAAAAACAGCCAATGCTCTTAACCTCTGAACCATCTCTACAGCCCCTGATTAACTCTTTAGAACCTTAATGATTGTGGAGAATTTCAAATGTTGCAAGTCCAGAGCCAAATTCTCTTGGGACATCATAGCCCTTATAATAGCCACTCACTGTCTCCATCTGTACCTAACCTATCATCTTTGAGACCATTAGGCAAATCCATTGGAACATATAAGCACCAGGCTCCCACCATGCAAAAGGAGAGAAAAACCATCATTTAGCACCTGAGCACAATGGCAGAGGCTCCCCCATCGGCTTTGACCCTCCCACTTAATGTCTTCACTAATACAAGTATTTGAAGTGCCTTTATTTAAGACTTATGTTGTTCTGTTATACAAAAAGCTAATGAAACTTTTACTGTGTGGGAACATGACATTTTGGGTAGTCTTATGTGGTTATGCGGCCATAGTTCCACAATAAACTCTCATGCAATTGCAGGGGAGAGAAATTAATTTTGTCCCCACATTTTCCTTGCTAAGTTTGTGTATCTATGTG